CCCCCTCCTGACCCCTCACCTTCAACCCCGGGATCCGCTAGCCCATCTGCGGCCCGGGAGGGCGTCAGGAGGAGATCCGCTCCGGGCTGTGAATGCGGAAGTGACGTGTATTACATCCGCATTCACCTGTCAGTCATCCGGCTGCTATAGCCAGAGAAGAAGCCGGGGGAGCAGAACTCGGCTTCATCAGCTTCTTTCAGGGCCTGTTCACACGACGTGCTGACCGGATCCCTACGCTCCCGCACTAAAAATGCCTCCCGATGTCTCCCTGTGCGTTTTATGGGCTCCAGTTCTCACGTGCGCAGTCCGTTCAGGTTACGACAGAAAAAAATACTGCGCGTCACATTTTGTCCGGTCAGAAAACGCATCAAAAATGCGCCGCAGCTAACATACTGACAGCCCCACTCCAGCAACGCATCAAAAACGCGGCCAAAACACACGGCACGGCGTCTGCTGATCCGGACCTGAAACTCGTGTGAACAGGCCCTTAGGGTCCCATCTATAGTGCAATGAAATACCATTCCCCATGGATCATCTTCTATATGAGAACCTATAATTATCTCCACATAAGTCCTCACCTGACCCCCAATACCCCTGGATAACGGGGCAAGTCCACCATATATGCGCCATAGTTACCCCCCTTTGTCCACATCCCCCTCCACCGTACATCTTGTGCATTCTAGACGGAGAGAGGCTCCGGAATTTCATCTCACTTCCTGTTGTGGCTACTGGACGAGAGGAAACCTCTCCCTGATGGGACGCAGATGGTTTTTCACCCTCGTTACCGATCCCAAAACAAAACATCGCTTCAGTTCTACTCTGAATTGGGCACTTGGTGTGAGCCCTCGTTCACACCTGAACGTTTTGGAGCGCGTTCTACGCTCGCCGAACGCTCTACAAAACGCTCAAACATCTAAATCCCATTGTATCCAATGGTCCGGTTCCCACCTCGGCGTATTTCCGCCCGTCCCTAACGCGCTACAAAACGGCCCGCGCCTGAAAAGGTACAGGTACTGCTTTGGGCCGTTTTGTTGCGCGTTTCCATTTGGATGCAGCCAAGTAGCCTTCGGAAACGCGCGACGGTCGCGCATATGCAATACGCCGAGGTGTGAACGAGACCTGAAGCTTTCTGGTGCGGACGCGGCCTGGCCCAGAAAAAGGTGACCTGGATTTAGCTCAGCAGGTCGGAGCCTTCCACTGGGTGCGTCAGGATTCTGGTCTAGGTTCAGTGGGTCAGGTCTGGGTTCAGAAATGTCCCGTCCCTAAAAAAAATGGTCAGTTGGCGACCTCAATATACTGATCCGGTTTTCCCATCAAGGGATGTTTTCTTCCCCGATGGCACATTGGGCATATTCCGTAGACATGTGCCATTCGTTTCGTTACCAATCGAAATTCGT